TTTGGTTCTGTTGTGACTTCACCTATGTGGTTTCTAATGTGATTGATTTGTGTCCTCTCCCTCTTTTCTTTAGTTAGTTTTGCCAATGGTTTGTCAATTTTATTAATCCTTTCAAAGAACCAGCTTCTTGTCTTGTTGATTCTTTCTATGGATTTTTGGTTTTCTATCTCATTTATTTCTGCCCTTATCTTTATTATTTCCCTTCTTTTGGTGACTGTAGGTTCCCTCTGTTGGACTGCTTCTAGTTGTTGAAGGTGATGTGTTAATGTGTTGATTTTGGCTCTTTCCTCTTTTTGGATGTGTGCATTTATCGCAATAAATTGACCTCTCAGGACTGCTTTTGCCATGTCCCAAAGATTTTGGTATGTTGTGTTTTCATTCTCATTTGTTTCTAGAAACTTTGTGATTTCACGTTTAATTTCTTCTCTTACCCAGTCATTTTTCAGCAGGGTGTTGTTCAGCTTCCATGTATTCGACTTTATTGATTTGGCCTTCTTATTGTTGATTTCTAGTCTTATAGCACTGTGTCTGAGAAGATGCTCTGTAGAATTTTGATGGTTGTGAATTTATGGAGGCTTGCTTTGTGGCCTAACACATGGCCAATTCTGGAGAATGTTCCATGCACACTGGAGAAGAATGTGTATTGTGACATTGTTGGGTAGAATGCTCTGTATATATGTATGAGGTCAAGTTGGTTGATTGTGTTGTTAAGTTCCTCTGTGGCATTGTCGAGTTTCTTTCTGGTTGTTCTATCCCTTTTCGAGAGTGGTGTGTTGAAATCTCCTACTATAATTGTGGATTTATCTATTTCTTTCTTCAATTCCATTAAGGTTTGCCTCATGCATCTTGGTGCTCTTTCGTTGGGAGCGTAAATGTTTATTATGGTTATGTTTTCTTGTTCAATTGATCCTTTGATCATGAGATAGTGCCCTTCTTTGTCTCTTATGGCGGTTTTTATCTTAAAGTCTACTTTGTCGGAGATTAGTATTGCGACTCCTGCTTGTTTAGAGCTGTTGTTGGCTTGGTAAATCTTTTTCCATCCTTTGACTCTTAGTCTGTTTTTGTCTTTGTGTGTAAGGTGTGTCTCTTGGAGGCAGCATGTTGATGGATCTTGTTTTTTTTATCCATTCTGCCACTTTTTGTCTCTTCACTGGTGCATTCAATCCATTGACATTCAATGTAATTATTGATAAGTATGAGTTGATTACTGTCATTGTGTTACTTTTTTGGCAGTGTTGTTTGTTCTTTGGTTCTGCTTACCTTCTTGTATTGAGTTTGTGTTTTTTGAGTTGATTCTGGTCAGTTTCTTCCTAGCTTCTTTGTTTGGTTGTTCTGTTTGGGAATTCATGTTCATGATCTGTTGTGGGGTGTTAACTTTCTTTGGGGTTACCTTGTAGTCTACTAGTTTTTCTATGCATTTAGGATACTCCATTGCAACCTGTGATTTACTTGGCATCTCCACCACCTGTGCTTCTGTTGCTGTGTTTGTCCCTTCTTTGACATTGATATGTTTATGTCCTTCAGTTGATCTCTGGGTTCTCTTGAGTTTGTTGTAGTCTCTCATAAAGATTTATAGTCTGCTCATAGGGTCTCCAAGACTTGGAATCAACTCAATGGCAGTGGGTTTGGAAGATTTGCCATTTTAATTATTTTTCAAATGTGCAACCCCAATGCATGAATCACTTTTGCAATGCTGTGACCAGTCACCACTATTTGTTTTTAGAATGTCTTCATCACCCCACATAGAAACTCTGCAACCCTTCACCAGTAACTCCTCATTCATCCCAACACATAGCAATCATGAGCCTCCGTTTTGTCTAATGTAGATAACTGCTCTAAATGGGTTCATACAATGTTTGCCCTTTGTGCTTGACTTATTTCACTGAGCACAATGCTTTCTAAGCCCATTTGTGTGGTTATACACATCAGAACTTCATTCTTTTTTATGGTGGATGAATACCTCATTGCATGTTATAGCCACGTTTGTTTTTCCATTCATCGATCCAAATACAATGCTGCTACGGACACTGGATTTGAGGGCCAGTTTCTCCTGCCCCTTAGGCTTTCTATGGAGCACCTTTCTATCACAACCTTGTACAGTCAGACATTTATACCCATGGAGTCCTGGCGTGGCACTGTGGGTTAATGCGCTAGACTGCAAAGTCAGTTTGAACTGCAAGGTTGGTGGTTCAGGTTCACCAGTTGCTCCTTGGAAACCCTCTAGAGGGTCACTAAGGGTCGGAATCGACTTGACGGCACTTAACAACAACAACAACAACAACAACCCCCCATTTTGCTTCAGGAGAGTAGGATCAATGTCTCTGAAGAAGTTGTTTGAGATGGAGGGTTTGGTGCATAGAAAATAACCCAGACCGAGAACACAGGGTTCAAACCCAGGCTCTGTGCTGCCCTAGCCCTGTCAACCTGTTAGCTTTCGGAGCCTCACTTTCCTCATCTGTACCGAGGGGATTATCCTCCCTCCCTGTAAGTATGGTAGTGAGAATTAGCCGTAACATGCACAAAGCACTTAGCACAGGGCTTGGCATCTGGTAGGAAGTCAGCGTGTGATGGCTCATATTAATGCTTACTTTTAGAAGTGCTATGCTTTTATCTTCTCACCTGGCCCCCTCCACACATCATGCTTTAGACTCACAGACTCCTAGAAGGCATAGCTAACAAACTTTATACATCCTAGGGTGGTGCATATGGTTAATGCGCTTAGCTACTAACTGAAGTTTAGAAGTTTGAGTCCACCCAGGGGTACCTTGGAAGAAAGTCCTGGTGATTTACTTCAGAAAATCAGCCACTGAAAGACGTACAGAACACAGTTCTATTTTGACGCTCAGAATGTTGCTATGAAAAGGGATCATCACCTGTCACTGTCGACTCAGTGACAACAACTGGTTTATGTGTGTTTAACAAATTCAGAGACTTCAGTGAATGGGCACAAATGTTTTGCATTTGAATGCTAAACTAAAGGTTGGCAGTTAAACCCATCAGCAGCGCAGAGGAAGAAAGGCCTGGTGATGACAGCCAAGAAAACCCTAGGTGTGTCTATCCATGTGTGTCTGTTGGTCTATGTGCACATGTGTGTGTCCATGTGTCTGTGCTTCTATCTTTGTGTGTATGCACATGTGAGTGTCTATGCCTCTTTTGCTGTGGGTGCACATGTGTGTGTCTGAGTGTACATGTCTGTCTGTGTGTGCATGCTCACGCTCCTGGGTTCTTTCCCCCACAAGGAGCTCTCCCCACATGCCTCACTCAGCGCTCAGCCCTTCTTGCTGCTGGCCTCCGAGTCCATATTTCTCATGATAGATTTCAAAGTATCAGAATCACTTGGAGGAATGGTGTTAAATGTCCATTCCTGGGCCCACTACAATCTGTTTAATCTGAGTCTTGGCAAGGGGGTCCATCTAAGGAATTGGCATCTTCATAAGCATCCAAAATAATTTTGAAGCTGAGGCAAACTCAGACACATTGCTCCAAGGAAGGGGGTCCTGCACTGGTCCTGGTGAGGGCAGGAAGGGCCTGGGTGTCACAAATCTCACTGGAGATCTCAGTCTTACCTTCTAATCTCTAGGGTCAGCAGCCCATAGTTGTTCTTGATTCGGTACTTTCCGGCAGGAAAGAGGCGGGGATCAATTCGTACATCATTTTTGTACCTGTAGCGACAGAAGGTGAGTTTCGAGCACAAAGGATGGAGGTTCCTCTCAGACTTGGATTCTAACTTCACTGATGTTACCTAGGATAGCACCTTCACCGCTCTGAGCCTCAGTTGTTCCCATCTGTAGAATGGGAGCAATATTAGCACTGCCCTCATAGGGTTGCTGTGAACATGAAATGGGATGAAGTATGGAAAGCCTTTCCCTGGTGCTCTACAAACTGCAGGTGTTTAAGGATTCATTCCCCAGCCTAGGGGGCAATGAAGAGGGGTCTGTAACTAGGAGTACCCTCCCATCAGGGACACCCACAGGAGTGCTCTAGGGACCAGGTCTCAGCTTTTCCCTTCTAGCTGGGTGGGATGTGGAGGTGCCAGAAAAGGTACCCTCTGCCCCTCTCTCCCTAGCTGATCCCCAGGACAGTAGTTCTTCAGCTCGGCTCCCATTAGACTCATGTGAGGAGCCTTTTAGAGCCCTGCTAGCATTGTAGGATGAGTACAGGACTGCCAGCCACTAGGTCAGCAGTCCAAACCTACCAGCCACTCCTCAGAAGAAGGATGAGATGGTTTGCTCCCATAAAGATTTACAGCCTCAGAAACCTACAAAGGCTGCTATGAGTCAGAGTCGACTCTATGACAGTGCATGGTGATGAGCAGCCTGAAAGTCTCCACGTTCAGGCTGCATCCCAGATCAATTCAATACAAATCTCTTGGGTGGGACCCAGGTGCTAGAATTAAAAAAAAACACAACAACTCCCCAGATGATTCTCAAGAGTGGACAAGAGGGTCAATCTGTCCCACTGTATCCTGGATACTTCTTTTGCTTTCTACACACTCTTAGGTCTTCTTCCTCCTGGGTAGACTGAGCAGTGAGGTGGCCTTGCCTCTCTCCACAGTCTTCTAGGCTAGGGTGCGGGCTCTGGATGGTCAAGGAGTTAGAAGGAATGGATTCTGTGTGACTTTGGGCTGGTCGGTCCCTCTTTGGGCTTTTTTGTGCTCCTCGGAAACCCTATAAAGGGTCACTATGAGTCGGAACTGACTTGATGGCACTTAACAGCAATAACACCAAACCCCTTATTAAAAGAATAAATGTGTCTTTCTGCCCAGTGGTGTGGCTGTGGTTGCAGAGGAGGCTTGGGCCTGGAGGGGCACCCCAGCTCCAGTGTACCACCTTCCTTAGACCTAGCTTCCCCACAGCTCCTGCTTATCTCCATGGCAACTAATCAGAGCCCCATCTATGACCTACCATACAGACCCCAGCCTGTAGCTCTCTTTGAAAAGGAGCCCAACTAAATCTCCCACAGGCAGGGCAGCTCCTAATCTGGATGCTCAATCTGTCCATCTCCCCCAGGCCTGGCAGCTGAGGTCAGGCCCCTCACCCACGTCTGTCAGGAACATTGCAGACACTTCAGCCTGGCCTGTCTCTGCCCTTCACAGTAAGAATAGCAGTTCTGGGCATTGCCTGGGAAGCTCCAAGCTGTCCTGGCTTTTCCCCTGATCTGTCAGGCCCTTGAAGGCACCTGCTTTGTGGACCATTCTACGTGGCAGCCAATAATAAAATAAGACAACCCAAGTGAGAAATCCAGTCCAATGCCTGGCTCTGAGGAGGCCCTCATAAATGTGTTCTGTTTTTATTCTTTATCTAAATCTTCTTTTCTCACACATATCTTTAGGTTGGTATACGATTTTACTTTTTATGCATGCTTGACCTGAGAGACTGATTCTAACTGGGCTTAGCAGAATCATGGCTGGCACCTATTCCTGTGGCATGAACATGGCCAGACGAACCCAAACCAGTTGCTGCCGAATCGATTCTGACTCATGGAGACTATGCTTTCAATGGCTGGGTTTCCAGTGACTGGTTTTTTGGAAACAGATCACCAGGCCTTTCTTCCAAGGTGCCTCTGGGTCAACTGGTACCTCCAACCTTTCAGTCAACAGCTTAGCATGTTAAATGTTTGCATTAGCCAGGGACTGTGGCCAGACTGGGCTGTGCTAAATTTACCCTTATTGGTCAGAGACCTAGAAGTCTCATTTTACAGCAATTTCCTTATTGATCTCTGGACTTGCTGTGGAAGCCTTGCCTTAGTCCCTGCCTTCCAAGGTAAGGACTGGGGGCCTTGGGGTGCTCCATGGCTTTCTGCTCTCTCCAGGATTCCTTGGCTTGGCATTCAAGGTGTCCCCATCTGGCCCCAGTCTGTCCTTCCAGCATATTTCCCTTCTTGGCTCCTGCCTTTCCCTCCTTATAACCCTGGGCCAGATCCCTGGAACCTCTCAGGGGGCTTGCACTTGCCTAAACACCCTGCTTTTCCTTAAGCCAGCCTCCTAAGCTGAGAGGCTTCTCCCTCTGTGGAACGTCTTCTGTGTCCTTCAAGTGCCCCTTCTTCATGAAGCCTTCCCACCATAGGGTAAGTCCCTTCCCATGCCAGGTTGCTGCCTCTTTCTCAGAAACACTGAGTCAGGTTCCTTCCCTTCAGTGTATGAGCCCTCTGGGTGACTGCTAGGAGCTACTGTGTGTGCATCAGCCTCTCTCATTAGAATACTTGGGGCAGACTGTGAGCCCTCTCAGTGCCTATGCATTCAGGAAGTGTTCTGTCATTGCTGAATGAAGGGACTCTCCTGGCCAGCCCAGCAAACCCAGGTCTTCCTCTGGACCTAAGGCTGAGTTTCTACCACCTGAGTCTGTCCGAGAGGAGATGGCCTTGGCCTTGGCTTCTGCCACATATGTGCTTAGCTCTCTGTTGTGGCAACCTTGTTGGCAAGGGTGAAAACAAGCACTCCGCCCAGAGGCCTCCACAGAACGCTTTAGTGTTGGCTCTCAGTGCCAGCGCAGGGCAGGGCATGACTGCCAAGTTGGGACAGCTGAGGCACTGACCCTCACTTAGCTCAGACCAGGTGTCAGGAGCAACCCTCCTACTAAGTAAGCACCAGTGTGCAGGCAAGGACTGAGTCCCGGCACCAAGTACGGTTATCTGGTACAGTTTATCGAATGAATGCCAGCTGGCAGTGACCAGCTCAAATGTAAACCCCCTCAAGAGGCTGCCTTTCGTGGCCTGGCCTAAATGCTTTCTGTTTCCCTGACTTCCAGAGCCATGGTTACTTTCATACTTTCTAGACCAGTTGGAAGAGATACACGTTTGAATCCTAGCTCTCACTGGCTGTGTGACCTTAGACAAGTCACATTACCTCTCTGAGCTTTGATGTCCTCCCTTGTGAAATGGGGGTGACCTCGAGGCCCCAATGAGAGAGTGGTGGAAAAGTGCTGGGACAAGTGTAAAGTGGGTTCAAACATAAGCCAGTGCTTTTTCCTTTATGCTCTGGGCTATTTGTGTGTTTACCTTCTCTCTCCTATCAGACCATGGTTTGTTCTTCACTTAAAACCTGGCTCATCTGTTATGTCCTCTTCCCAGAGCTACTTCCTCCATTTGGTCCTCACTACTTGGAGTCCTGGGGTGGTGCTGTGGGCTAATGTGTCAGACTGCAAAGTCGTATGAACTGCAACGTCAGTGGTTCAAGCTCACCAGCTGCTCCTTGAAAACCCTATACAGGGTCGCTATGGGTCGGAATCAACTCGACGGCACTTAACAACAACAACAACAACTTGGCCCTCACTACCTCACTGGTTATGAATCGGACTGCTAACCTCAAGGTTTGGCAGTTTGAAACTACCAGCTGTTCCGCGGGAGAAAGATGAGGCTTTCTGTTCCTGTAAAGATTTGCAGCCTCGGAAACCCTGTGCAGGGTCGCTATGAGTCGGAACCGACTCCACAGTACTTAACAACAACAACAACCACCTCAGGTGCCATTCTTAACTGTAATCTCTTTGTATTGATGTTTCTACTCCAGGCCCAGAGTTCCTTAAGAGTGAGATTATCTGGTTTATTTATGTCCCCATTGCCCCCAGGACCTAAGACAGATGGCATGCTGGTAATTATTATTTAGCCTGCCCAGGAACTCTGGTGATGCAACAGTGAAGCAATTGGTTATTAACTGGAAGGATAGTGGTTCAAACCCACCAGTGGCCCTATGGGAGAAAAGCCATTGGTGATCTGTAAGGATTCCAGTCTAGGAAAGCCTAGGGGGCCGTTCTAATCTGTCCAATAAGGTTTTATGAACCAGAATGGACTCAACAGCACACAACAACAATGATGGTGCCTGGCAGTGGGTCTTAGACCCTCACCAGCAGGGCCTAACTTCTGTGATTCTGCTCTGTCTACACTCCCAGGAATGACAGCTCCTGCTTTCTCAGCCCTTTCCAAATTCTGAAGATATCCACGTTGTTGGGGCTCTAACTCCTCACAGCATGCAAAAAAAAAACTGAACACAAGAGGTTCAAGAGGTTCAATTCATTTTACAGAGTAGGACACTGAGGTAGGCCCAGAGAAGTGAGGAGACGTGGCTGAGCCCATACACTGCTTTAGTAGTTGTTGTCAAGTTAGTTCTGACTCAGAGCCACCCCGCATAGGGTTTCCAAGGAGTGGCTGGTGGGTTTGCACCACCTATCTTGTGGTTTGCAGTCCAGGGCCACACCAGGGTTAATCCAGAGAGCTAGATATGGGAGGCGGGGTTCCCATTCCAGCCCTCTTTCCTATAGCCTCATCCCCTGTCCTACCATCCTCCAACCCCAGAGACATCCAGCTCAGAGCAGCTGCCTTCTATTGCCACCAGAATCAAATTTGTACAAGCACTGGCTCTCCAGTGGCCCAGTTTTGCATCTGCAGGAAGCTGGGAGGTGGCTAAGAATAACTCTAGCCTGAGCCTTCTCAGCTGCTGCTGTATTTGGGGAGTGGGCTGAGCTGGTGGAGGCTCCTGAGGGTCTGCAGCTTTTCTGAGATCCCCGGGTGGGAGGTGTGTGTGTGTGGGGGTGGGGAGCGGTGAGACTCCCAGCTGGGTGGGACTGCAAGGAACTCCCACTCTCATGACCCAGGAAGTGGGCGCCATTGCATGGAGAAAGTGCTAGTACCTCTTCTTACGGAACCAGCACTTACCAGGTGACTTGGGGCAGAGGGGACCCTTTGACAGTACAGGTGAGCAGGACCGTGGTGTGTTCCCAGACGGCGTGGGAGCGAAGGGGGATCCAAAACCAGGGTCCCCGGCCAGAACACAGCTCCAGCAGCTCCTTGGCCTCCCGGACTTTCTCCTCTGTCTGGAGATATGAGGATCACCCTTTGTCACCCTGTGAGCCAGGGACCACTCTTTCCATCTTTGCGGCCACTGTCCCCACCTCATGCCCAGGCTCTGGAGCGTCCCCTTACCACCAGATGAGAGGCAGTGTGATACAGCGGGCAGGACATGGGCTTTGGAAGCAGCTGACCTAACCATCTGTTAGCTGTGTGACCAGAGACGGTTGCCTAATAACTCTAGGCCTAAGTTTCTTTATCTGTAACCCCTGTTGTTAAGTGCTGTTGAGTCACTTCTGATTCATAGCGACTCCATATAGGGTTTCTGAGGAGTGGCTGGTAAGTTTGAACTGCTTACCTTGTGGTTAGCAATCCAGTACTTATCCTACAGTGCCACACCAGGAATTTAGTGAGGATTAAATGAGTTAATACATGAAAAACATGCAAATATGTCTGGTACTAAAAAAACAACCCTGCGGCTCTGACATTTGTCAGGAATAGCATTTCCTGAGAGTCTTTGGCATCGGGGAAGTCATTTTACGAACCCAACTTCATTACAAACTCAACCCATCTCAACCCAGAGTTGGTACAACCACACCTATTTCACAGATGAGAAAACTGAGGCTGGGGTAGGCTAAGTCTCTTGCCCAAGGTATCCAAACTCTGGTCAAACTCTTTTCTGCCTCTTGAGAAGAGGGTCAGGAAGAGGTAGGAGCATGGAGTGAGAACAGGGCCACAGGTCTGAGGCCCAGCAGCACCAGCCTGTTCCCTCACCCGCTGCCTCAGAGCTTTCCTGCTGCGTCTCTGGCGTAGTAGACTGCGGGTCTGCAGAAAGGCGAGCTCTGTCTTCTCCAAGTAATTGTCGAAGCCCACCCGCTTCTGCCCGCGCTCCTCCAGCTCCACAGCGGAGGACTGTCGCCTCAGTCGGGCCTCCCTGTGGGTGACAGAGGCCATCAGCAGCTGGACAGGGCATCCTGCTAGCATCATTCCCACGCCTAGCGATGCCAGTTTCTTGAGGACAAGTCCCAAAACACCCAGGAAGAGCGTTACTTACACTTGATCATTGCTAGAGCTTGCAAAGGTCTTTTTCAGGTCTCTGTTGTCTTGGTTTCCCTACAGCCAAGTGCACAGGCCTTACTGTCCCCATTTTACAGGGCAGAGGACTGAGGCTCTGTGCCTTGCTCCCAGTCAGACAGAACCAGAACAGGCCTCAGAGATCAGGGTACTGCCTAAAGCCAGCTGCTGTGCCATTCAGAGTTCTTGGGGCTGGATTACTTGCCCTTCTCCCCACTCCTTTTCAGTCCCCTCCCCAACACGGTCCCACCAGCTCCTCTGGGGTCTCACCACTCCTGTGGGCCTGTCCAGAGGGTATGGCATGGTGGGCTTTACACTAGCCCTGGACTTGACTCCTACTAGCCCCTTACTCAGATGTACTGCTATGGGCAGGTGATTTAAGTTCAATGTAGATCCTGCAGGGGGGCAGGGGACTGGATAGAATGGTCCCTGTCCCAGCCCAGGGAGCTCTGGAAGGTCACCTGACTTACCAGGACAGCTCTGAGGAGGCCGTCAGAGCCAGGGCGGCTGCCAGGGAGTAGTCTGCGGCACTGAACTGATACTCTTCGTCACTGCTCCGGGAAAAGAAGGGGCACAACTGCAGGCCTGGCCCCGGAGCTGCTGGGACTCCCGAGGCTGGGGCTGCATCTTTACACTTCTGCCTTAGGGCGTTAGCAGATGGGGCTGTGGTTCCACGCTCAGACCGGAGTCTCCAGAGGACAGGGCTGCGCCTCCCCCCTCAGAATGCAGTTTCCCGAGGACGGGGCTGTGCGCCCCCCGGAAGCTCCCCCCTCCCACCCCCCTCCGAGGACAGGGGCTTCCCGAGGACAGGGTTAAGTTCTGTCTTGGATTAGGAGCAGGCAGGCCTGGCTCCCTGCCCTCACACTCCCACCTGCTCCGGTAGGTTCGCTTCCGCATCGAGGAGCCCATGTGTAGGCTTTGCTGCCGCTGCTCTGACTGTTCCTCCTCCTGGCGGTGCTCCATCCTGTGGACCTCCGTGGTCTGCGGGGGCTGGGGTGCCCCCACATTTCCAGGGCTGTGGGGCAGAGTCATGGCTACAAGGAAGACAACCTGCGAGGGCCAGGGTTTATGATTATCCACCAGGTAACTGCCCATCTCTTCCTCACTTGGTCCCCCCAATGTCTCTGGAAGGCTTGGCGGGGGAGGGGTTCTCTCCCCAGTGCCCAGACAGGGAAACAGGCCTTCGAGGCAGACACCCTGTCCCAGATGATAGAAGGCAGGGCTTTGGGCTCTGATCTGAGTCTATCCACTACCTCCTGAGCCCCCAGCTGCACTTGGGCTTGGCCCCACGGACCAGGCCTTCCCCTTACTGGGCTGTTGAGTGCCGTGATGTCTGAGGGCTGTCTGTAGTTTCAGTGGACTGGGGTCCTCATCTGCCTGAGTATGCCATCCTCAGTCTTACCTCTGAGCGCTTTCCACCCTGGTTTCCTCAGCTGGAAACCCCTTCCCCTCCTCCTGGTATGTTCCACTCTATTCATGCTTCAAAACCCAACATGAGAACTGAAGTGGTTAAGCACTGGGACTCTGGGTCTGGTCTATAGGGTGATAGCCTAGCTCCTCTGCTTACTGACTTGGTTACCTACCAGGGTGATAGTTGAATTAGATAGTTTAGTTAAGTACTTGCTACATGCTATTACATAAATAGTTGTTGTTGTTGTTGTTAAGTGCCGTCGAGTCGGTTCCGACCCATAGCGACCCTGTACAGGGTTTCCGAGGGTGTAAATCCTTACGGGAGTAGAAAGCCTCATCTTTCTCCCGCGGAGCGGCTGGTAGTTTCGAACCGCTGACCTTAAGGTTCGCAGCCCGATTCGTAACCACTACGCTACCAGAGCTCCTTTACATAAATAGTAGGCTAATAATAATACTGTTTTTCTAAGAAGCTTTGCTGAAAAGTTAAAGTGACCTAGAACTTCCCTCTAATCCCATTTGTACTTTTAATCTGTCCTCCACCACAAAGCTCTGATTCAGAAATATCTCTCCTTACTATTTATTTATTTCATATCTGTCCATTCTTAACTCCTTAGTGCAGAAAGAGTGAACACTTACTATGTGCTGGGCCTTCTGTTAGGATTTTCTTATTATCCCCAATCCCTAGGCTATCCCAAGAGACAAGAGCATAATTAGCCCACTTCACGGATGAGGAGGTGAAGGCCCAAGAGGAGAACCACTTGCCCAAGGTCACCCAGTTGACTGGTGGTGGACCCATTCAGATCTGCCTGACCCCTGGGCCCTCTTGACCTCTATGTTACACATCTACTTGAGGTAGGCTGTGGTAGAGACACAAAGCTTCCTCCTTTATACTCCTGAGACTCAGGTAGGCCGCCCAGATGGTGTTCGTAGAAGTCAGGAATCAAGGAGGGGGTCCGTGAATGTGGAGAGGCCAGCGAGGATATGGGAAGCAGTGTTAGCTGGCTTTGGGATTTTATATCAACTTCTTTCCCAGATCTGGGGCCCCATGTCACTGCCAGGTCTTTGAGGGGCAGCCCCTCAGATAGAATCACTGACTTTCCTGCCTCCTGCAGGTGGGAATTTAGCTGGCAGGTCCCTGAATGGGCTTGGACCTGACACAGATGGCAGGCCCCAAGAAGGGACAGAAGAGGAGGCTACATCTGCTTGCTAGTGGGAGGTTCGGCTCTGCCCTGGCCTCACCTCTCCCTGGAAAGTGTGTGCATGCATAGACAGTGTTCTGCCCTGGGCTCACCCCTCCCTAGAGTGTGTGCATAGATGGGGTTCTGAGTTGAGCATGAAAACACCTGTTGGCTATTTCTCAATCTATGACCTGGGCCCCCTAGCCTCCTCAGTGATCCCACAGCCCAGAAGGGGCCTGTTGTAAGGTGTCAGGGGTCAAACTCTGTGACTCAGGGGGCATTTATTCTTTTGAGCTCCTAAAAGTGTACCACTTTGGGTGTCCACAGCTGTGGCGATTGGATGACTACACAGTGTTAACCAGACCAAGTGCTGTCCCAAAGCCATTTTGGTCACTGTTGACTGTCTCAGCTGACCACCCTGTTTATGACTGCTCTCCCCTCCTCATAGCCTGAGAGGAGTTCTGCTGGCCCCAGGCTGGGTGGAGGGAAGCTCTCTCTTCTCTCTCCCCCCCCCCCCCCAGCTCTCCTAGGACAAAGTGGCTCTGGCCCAGCAGCTGCTGGCTCACCCCTCCCCCCACGCTCTGGTCCGGATTAGCACAGCGAGTCCGGGTCTGGTTTCTCCTTGACCTCTGAGCCTGTAGCAACCAGATCCCTAGCATTAGAGGATGAGCCATCCGTTCTTTTTAAAGCATGATTGATGCGTGGGATTAAGCAGGGACAGGTTTGTAGCCTCCTTGCCCTTTCTCCAAGGGCCAGGGTGCTGTCTTCCCAGAAGGCCTTGTGTGCCTGCAGAGAGGTAGGTGGGCCACCAGGCTGTGTGCCCAGAGAGGAAACTACCCCCTTACCCTTTATTTCAGGGGTGCAAAGTCCTAGACCAGAGGTTCTGCCAACCCCTCTCTCTACCTTCCTCCCAAGCTTCCATCTGCTGTCCCATCCTAACCCTCCACGGGCACCCCCAGATGAGAAAAAGGCAATGAGCCACCCCTCTTCCTCAGGAGGGAGGGAGAGGAGCCATGTGAATGGGATTGTGGTAGAGGACTCTGAGCAGTGGGTGGGGGTCAGCCTGTACCTCCTAGGGGCCCCTTGTAGCTAATGCACCACCAACTTCCAAGAGGCCAGAATTCTAATGGTAGCATCTCCTCTCCCCTCCCCAGAGACCTCAGTTCCTGACACTGAGCCCAGACACAAGATGAACTTCCATGGGCTCCAGGCTTGTTTTGTGTCTCCACTCCGCCAGGCAGGACTCAGCTCACACTGCTTTAAGTTCACCTGGCATGCCAGCTTACCCCAACCCTGCCGATCCTGCCCCATACAGAAAGACCCCAGGTCCCCAAGGCTTGCTTTGTCGCTTTCACATCATGGAGGGCTCTGCTCGGAAGATCCAGAGCCACACAGCATAGTGGGATTGAGCAGGGGCTCCTAAGACCCCCTCCCATTGTCATATGCGGTGCTGCCTAAGCAAATGTCTGCTTTCTCTTCCCAAATCTCTTAGGTCCCTTTTCTCCAAACACACATACACCACAGACAGAAATCCTTTCCCAATAGAAAGTTGAGGGTCCCACTTCTTTCTGGGTGGTCCCCCCTGATTCCCGGAGGTGACTCACAGAAGCAGCTGGCCCCACTAAAGGGTCTCTAGGGAGAAGAATCCAGAGGACGATGGGGTCTTTGGTGTCTTCTTGCCCTCGGCTCAGCAGGGACTGGGACAAGAATGTGATCCTGGATCCTGCACGGGTCTTAAATATAGCAGTGCTGAGACCGTGCAGTGACAATGGATGAGAACTGTGATGGGGGGAGGAGGGGAGGGGAAGGCTGTCCCCTCCTTCCAGCATTACTCTGGCAGCAGCAACAGGTGGAGCTGTGCCCCACCCCTGCCTACAGCCTCTCCACAAACTGCTGCTTCTTTCAGTTAGAGCCCTTCTGCATAACTCCAGCGCCAGCCCCCAGTTAAGTGGAAAGAATGGAGTGACTAAAACCTGGTTGTTACGGATGGCAGATTAAAAGCAAACACACGTTCCCTTCGAGTGGATTCGGACTCCTGGTGACCTCCTGTGCTATGGAGGAGTACTGCTTCAGAAGATTTTCTTGTCTATAATCTTTACAGAAGCAGATTGTCAGGGCATCCTTCCTTGGTGCTGCTGGGTGGGTTCGAACTGTCAACCTTTCAGTTAATAGATGAGTGCTTAATTGTTTACACCACACAGAGATGTCAGGGTGGCAGACAAGGGTTGGTTTCTCAGATCTGAATCCTTCCCATTCCCCCGTCAGCCTGCATTTTAAATTTATATTGTGTGCTGCCTGTTAGTAGGATACAGTCCTGGTGTGGCACTGTAGGATAAACACTGGACTGCTAACTACAAAGTTGGTGGTCAAACCCACCAGCTGCTCCTCAGAAACCCTATACAGGGTCACTACGAGTCAGAACCAACTCGACAGCACTTAACAACTTAGTAAGATACCTGGCATTGGCAATTGCTTGGTAAAGGCTCCCAAATGCGGCAGCCAAGGAGGTGCATCCTTAGGACGTTTCTTCCAGAAATAAGCCTGTTACTGAGTAGTGAGTTGTGCAGTTAAGTGACAATGTCAGGATCAGGATCTGCCTTGAGTTCATAGTCTTCCTGCAGCTCCCAGACAAGGAGCATGACAAGAAAACCAAAGCCTATCAGGGTTGAGTTGGTTCTGACCTACAGCAACCTGGTAGTGGTAGTGGTGTGCCGTTGAGTCGAACCTGAGATTTCCGAGGCTATAAATCTTTACAGGAGCAGAAAGCGTCATCTTTCCCCAAGGAGTGACTGGTAGATTCAAACTGCTGACCTTGTGGTTAGCAGCCCAGCTTGTAATCCACTACACTATCAGGGCTCTCAGAACCACCATGGAAGAAAGATGTAGCAGTCTGCTTCTGTAACGATCACAGCTTGAGAAACTCTATGGGGTTCTAATACTCTGTCCCACAGCAAGTGATGCTTTCTCCTGTGCAGCTGGTGGTTTCGAACTACCTATCTCTGAGTTACCAGCTGAATTCTTAACCACTGTCAACAGGACTCCTCTGACAGGGATAATGTTGGTAAGTGCCATCGAGCTGGTTCCAACTCATAGGGACCTTGAATAGGGTTCCTGAGGGCCAGCTGGTGGGCTTGAACTGCTGACCTTGTGGTTTGCAGTCCACTGCTGATCCTACAAAACCACACTGAGTCTAGTAATTTCTTACCAACATAATAAGGTTTCTTCAATGCAAAATGTAGTCTGGAGCTCAAGGTTGGGTTGGCTAAGACTTTGTCCCATTGCATTGTGGTCTGAAGGTGTCCCTGCCTCATTCTGCTTCCTTCCCCTTTATCCTCAACAGGCATCGCCTCCAATAAATACCTTGTTCTCCTAATTTCCACCTCAGTGCCTATTTCTTGGAGGACCCAATTGGCATGCATTAATACTAAATAATTAGGTAATTGTTAAGAGCCATCGAGTCGGTTCCAACTCATAGCAACCCAGTAGCTGGTAAGTTTGAACCACTGACCTTGTGGTTCAAACCGACTTTGCGATCCAGCGCATATCCTGTAGCACCACACCGGAACTTCATTAGGTAATTAAGTAGATTATAGTAATGTATTCATTATAATAAGAGTCTCTGATAAATTAAATGGTTATGACATTGTTTTTATTGGAAGCTATGATAGTTCTTAAAGACGGGCTTCAGTGTGACTTTTGAGGGAGAACTCATTTTCTGAAACAGGGAGACTGTTGGTATTTATCTGGCCATTCCTGTGTAAACAAACGGTTCTGTTCCATTGTCTGGAAGGTGGGATAGGGCTAATAGCAGGGGACAAGCCACGGTTGTGCTATCTGGCTCTAACCTCCAGATCCAGGCTGACACTTGGACTTTGGAAGGATTCACACCCTATTCTCTACATGGAACTGGGACCACCCATGTATGTTCCTGGGGGGAGGTGACCCTGAGGGTCATGAATGTGCAACGTCACAGGTTTAAGTTCTATCCATTAGCCTTGTAGCTCCCCCACTTCCTATCCAGGGGGTGACTGGGAGGTGATTTGAGTCTGGTGTACAATAGCACTCTTCCCTCAACCTGTCTGATAAGAATCACCAACGGAGTTTATGAAAACTGCAGGTTTCAAGGTCTGTCCACTGAAGCGGTGGATTCAGCTGGTTTGGGGTGGGTTGGGGAAGCTGGGTTTTAAGTAAGCTCCCTAAGGAATTCTCATGATGAGGTAAGTTTGGGAAACGAAGTGGAGTAAGCAGCTTCACTGGACCACAGCTTCCTCGTTGGCAAATTACCAAAGGAGGGTTCACAGGAAGACCAGTGTGAACAGCCAAAAACATCGTTGGCGTTGTCTTCCTTCTTTTTATCACGCTTTTTACTGCTACTACGACTGCTACTACTTTATATAGATACACATACACTATGGAGTCCTGGTGTGGAACTGTGGGTTAATGTGTTAGACTGCAAAGTTGGTCTGAACCACAAAGTCAGTGGTTCAAGCTCACCAGCCACTCCACAGAAACCCTATACAGGGTTGCTATGGGCTGGAACCGACTCTGCGGCACTTCACAACAATAATATATACTATACTTTACTCCAGAGCTTGGCTCTGCCATGCAGTGTAGGCAGCACCTTGGAGACTCCCTCTTCTTAGGACTGGGCTGTGGAGATTCCTGGTAATGGGGTCAAGGGCCCAGGACTCTCAGAAATGCCAAGTCCCCCAGCGTAGCAGCTCTGACACTGTGGCCTCAGCTATGGCAAGTCCAGCATTCTCCTGCCTGGCGGTCCAGAGATATTAGGGGTCATGCAGCCTGGTGTTGGCCACTCAGTGGAGACAGGGCACGGCCTGAGGAGAGTTACAGACCAGCCATACTTGCTTGGAGTCACGGAGACTCCATTATGAGAATTGAGTCATTGGAATGTCTGCTGCAGCTTACTGAGTTCAGTGACCCTGTGAGTTGGAAGAGCTGTTTATGGCTTTTGATAAAGTACCTTTGTTGCTCACCTGTCCCTGTTACTTAGCTGAGAATCACCCATCTGTTGTTTATTCATTAAAAAGCAAGATGAAGACAGTCAACCTTTGGCCAAGTTAGCCATAAGGACAGGAAGCCACTTTGTTTGCAGTGTGGGGGAAGAGGAGAAGCAGTCGTTAGGACAGAGAGTTGCTGGTGCCAACAGGCAACTAGGCCAGGGTGCTCAGGAGGACGACCCACCCAGTGGCCCTGTTAAATTTTAATTACAAACAATGATAAGAGCATCACCACCTTTTGATGTATTTCAGAGAGGGAAGGGTCAGGGAGGAGAAGGGAACACCCATCTGGATACAGGGAAAGCCCCCTGTATACTCCAAGAGGGGTCCTGAGGTGACTGGAGCTTGATCCCCTTCTCAGAAATGTTCAGGGCTTTGAGGACAGGGGCATGCACTTGCTCCTCAGGGCCTCCACCGGGGCCTTCCCCTTCTTATCATCTCATTCCCTGATAATCTCATTCTCCAAGAGTCCAAACAGGTGTGGAAAGTTCCTTCTGCTGAGGACAAAGAGCTCTCGACTTGCGCTCCAGCTGTGTACCTGGCCCTCTCTGGGGTCACCTGAGATGTGTTCACCTTGAGAAGGGCCTCAGCATGGGGAAGGGGGAGCTAGACCTAAAAGAAAGCTCTCTCAGGTTACCACTGCTGCCCCAGATAGCTCCACCTCTGACTCCATTGGTCTCTGTGTCATTTCCAGAAGCTCCGGCGATGCCTCCCCTGTCCATGCCCACAGTCCAGGCCCTCTGCTTGGCCCGGAATAATTCTGAGAACACTGAGATCCTGAGATCGTGAGAAAGTGAAGGATGCTTCTGAAGAAGCCAGCTCAAGCTGGGGAGTGGGTCACCCCCTGTGTTACAGTGGGGAGTAGCTGCCGTTTCTTGTGCTCTGTCCAGGTGCTCCGTGCTATTATGCACTGTACGCACTGTAGTTCCATTTCATCACAACCCTGTGAAGCAGGCGAGGGAACTGAGGGTTGAAGCAATAATTCATTTGCTTGAAGTCACACAGTTGGTAAACGTGAGGCTGGGATTAGAGCCCAGCTGTGCTGAGTCCAAGGCGGACTTTCCAAGTTGTGAAGGAAGTACAGTTTGTTGTTGGTGTTTCCTTCAGGGCCAAGATGTTCTGTTCACATGCCGCTCGCAGATTAGGGCCTGGACCACTTTCCTGTGTTCTTCCTGCCCCATGAACCTGCATTCATCTGGGTAAAGTCCATAGCAATGGAATGAAGGAGGTCAAAATAGTGGCATTTTAAGCAGTTGCCCTGGTTGAGGGTGAGCCCCAGGCGGTGCCTTCCCTGGGATCTTGCCTGTTGCTGTGTTGTGCTGTGTCTGCCTTTAGCAGAGTGCAGCTTGTTCTGGTTCTGCCCCACCTCTGTGAGGCATCCTAGTCTAGACTCCTTTTCTGGAGTAGGAGGAGGGGCCCCACTCTGGATCCCAGAAACGAGCTGAGCAAGCTAGGCTCCTGAAGAGCTGGGGTCCTGGACCACTGGGACAGCTCCATGCATTGGCTCCATACACTGACGGTCCCATGCTGCCTTGCAGGGCCCTTCTGTGCACATGTTCATTTGTACATGCTGCACACAACCTGCATCTCCTCTGGTCGGGTCCTCCTCTGGTCAATCTCTGAGCTCTGATGGGCAATGTGGAGAGCTCACCATGGCAGGAACCTGGTGTCCCCTCCCTCTGACTCTCTCAAGGGAGCCCACCGGGGCTGGAGCACAGAGTGTGCACATGATTGGAGTGACCACCAAGGATGTGAGGTTGGCGAGGATGGGGAGGCCAGCCCCTGGCAGACGCTCTCCCTCAGACCTCCCACTGCACGGTCAGGGCCAGGCCTCTGAAAAGGGACTCTAGCTCAACAGGCTGCTCTAGGTCTGGGGCCCGAGGTTCAGTGTTCTCTATGTCTGCCCTGGGCATTGGACTCTCATCCTTGGGGCACACAAGAGACTCCAGTAAGCTCCAGTCACTTGGACTCTGTCCTGTGGGGGAGCAGAGGGGGGATGGGTGCCCCTCGATCTGGACAGAAGAGAGCAAGGAGAGTTGGCCTTTTAGGTACCCTGGCATCCCTGACACCCCATTCAGGTCAGGGGCAACGTCTGTGTGAACCCCCAGATACTGGTGGGAGGATTTTGCTTCTTGGGGTTCCTCCACATCCAAAGAGGTCATGGCTGGGAGAGAAAGGCCAGATGGAATGCAGCTTCTGCCTGGAACTTCTTTCTGGAGCTGACCTTTGAGGTGCTTGGGACTAGAGAGTTCCGCAGGAGGGGAGTCTTTTCCAGAACCTTCCATGCACATCCCATAGGATGAGGGCCAACTGTGTCGAGTGGCCTGAGGGGCATAGGAGGAAGGTGGGACCTGGGAAATGGTCTGTGGAGTGTAACAGGGGGGTTCAGTTTTGGGGGGGGCCTGAGGAGAGTAGGATGGGGGTCCGGCCTCAGGGCCAGCCTGGGGGGCATAGGACAATGGAGGGAGGGTCTGTTGAGGTGGCCTGTTGGGAGGTTGGAGGATGGAGATATCTGGCTGTTTGAAGTAGGTGATCTCAGGCAGGCTGTGCAGCTGTGGGGTTCCTGGGAGCTCCCTGGGCCCAGACACCTTCACCTGGGTGTATTGGACTGGCTGGGATATAACGCTGGAGCCGCTGAGGTCCAAGGCAGGAATCAGAATGTGCTCTTGGATGAACTGTAGAGGCTGGAAAGTCAGGACTCGCTGGACGTTCTGTGTGGGAACAGCAATCCACACCTCATTAGGACACGTTCAAAGACCTGATGGAGGCATGTGGGGGGCTTCCTCATGAAACAGACATATAGAATCCTTTAAATGCTGGGTGGAGCCCCTGGGAAGGAACAGGGGCTCCCAGGCCTTGAGGCAAGGGCCACTTGTAGAGACTGGGACGTCTCAGGAAGGGGCATTTAGGCTCTGGTTTTCCTGGTTCTTGTTGGCTGCGGTTGAGTTAGCCCCTCACTCGTGGCAACCCTGTGTACAATGGGCTTGGACTATTGTGCTCCATAGCGTTTTCAGTGGAAATAGATAGCCATCTTGGATTGGAAGCTCCACTGAATCTGTTTAGCATTATAGCAACATACAAGCCTCCTCTGACAGACGGTGTTGACTGAGCACGAGATACATGGGCCAGGAACTAAATCTAGGTTTCCCGCATACAAGATGAACATTTTGCCACAAGCCCACCACTGACTCTAGAAGTACACAGTCCAGGAAGGTGAGGTCAGATTTTGGGCTGTCTGTCTGATAGAGAACTAGCTGGGCCGGAATGGGACTAAGAGGGGAGGCGGGAGAGTTTTATAGGAAATGGCTCCTCTGGGCTGTGACATTGAGCAACATGCCCTCTGAGCTGCTCTGTCTCCCTGATGGATGACAACTGGCACCAACTGCCCTGAGAGTCAGGAACCCACTGGGACATGACACTTCAGCTGAGAGTCAGCGCCAGTCACCAGAGTAGGTCTGCTGGTGTGATTTGTGTATCTTACATTTTAAAAATTAGTTGCCAATATTTGAGAATTGAGAATTTCACATTACAATCTGAAATTCTGGCTTCTCTGGAAAAACTGGAAGCATCTGGCAATACCAGGCTTGCATTTCTATCTGATTGTTCTTGACTGTTGTTCAGATGGTTTGTGGCTGCTGCTTACCATATCCTGCACCTCTTCCCAGTCTCTACCTGTGACAGCAACCTGCTCACTCAATATCTGTCACACCTGCCAGGTCCTAGCACACCTTCAAGCTGCATTTATCCCACATTCATCCATTATCCCCAACCCCTTGGTTCTCTGAAGCACACTCTAAGACTCATGGGCCACACTCTTCCCAGTTCTAGGTTAGCCTGTGAGCTCCTCAAGGGGAGAACCCAGATCTCATTGACACTCTGTGGGCTGGTCCCTGCATTTGAAGGAGAACTAGGGGTCCTGGGTCTTCCCTGGACCTTTTCCTCCTGACCCAGCTGGGACTGCTCACCAGGGAGTCGGGTGGCTGTGGTGGCTTCGTGACATATCTGTAGCTCAGGTAGCAGAGCATGGCGACGAGGAAGCCCATGGAGAACAGAAAGGCGCCCGAGAAGGAGTAGGTCCATGTTTGATCTAGGTGAGCCAAGGGACAGAGAAGAAAGAGTGAGGCTAAGGCCTGGGTCTGGGTCTGGATTAGATCTCAAGTGAAGGTGCTGGGGGCTCGGGGCTTTTCCTACCTGGTCCTCTCAGATAAGGAGCCTCCACAACCCCAATATTTGCAGGGTCAGGGCAAGGACACCTATGGTTTTATACACCGTAAAGCCAAACAAAACCAACTGTTGTCAAGGTGATTCCAACTCACAGTGACTTGTGTTGAGAGTAGACTAGCTCCACAGGCTTTCTTGGGTGTAACCTTTACAGCAGCAGAGTGCCAGACCTTTCTTCCACTGTGCTGCTGGGTGGATTTGAACTGCCAACCTTTAGGTTAGGAGTTAGAGCAAGAAGTTTGTATCACCTAATCTATAAATCGTATTTATATGAAAGTATGAGTCCTGGTGTGGCGCTGTGGGTTAATGCGCCAGACCGCAAAGCCATTTGAACTGCAAGGTCAGTGGTTCAAGCTCACCAGCTGCTCCTTGGAAACCCTATACAGGGTTGCTATGGGTCAGAACCGACTCAATGGCACTTAACAACAACAACATCCAGAACCTGTAAGTCATGCTTTTTACACTTTAAATAAAATATATTTTGTATTCTTACCTTGACAAATACACTCTTTATAACAACCTGGGAGGTCAGGTTTAAAATTCTTGGACCCTTGGGGTGCTGTGTCAAAATGTGGAGGTGTAGGGAGGGGGTCCTGTGAAGGCCTAAGCCCATGCCAGCTCCATCTCACACTGCCAGGGGCCAGACCCATGTGGATGCCCCAGACCACATGACTAAGGTCACTCCAGCTCCACAGATAGCCTGTTTCACGGGGGACTGGGAGCCCCAGTTGCCCAGAGTGGGTCCAGAAGGGAGGTCAAAGGCTTTGCTGTGTGAACTCTTCATCTCTGAGGAGGGACTGTCTAAAGTGTGGGGCTCAGAGATGGTGGGGGAGTGGGGCAGAGGGTGGGGAGAGGGGACAATGAGAGAGGCCTGTCCTCCTACCTCTCTACTAAGATAATGGTCTGGGTACCTGGAGGGTCCTGCTAAGGAAGGGAGCAAGGAAGACAATGCCCTTTCTAAGAGGGGAGCAGAGGGACAACTCAGGGCTTCAGTGGCGGAGCTCCTCCCTGTGGTCCAGCATGTTTTGATTGAGAAAGAGGTTGGTGAAGTTCTTGGTTAAAATAGAAATTTGCATTATCCAGGAGTTCTGACTCTCCAAGCATCTGTCTTCCTTTTCCAGCTTCCCTTGTGGCTTCAGCTTGGGGAGTCAGTCACCACCTGCCAGTGACCTTGGCCATCACTGTGAGCATGGCACTCACTGGAGCTTCTCCCCCAGATACCCTGTCCCATGTCATGTCACTGCTCCAGGGAGAAGACCAGATCCAAAACGTCTCCACGTGACTTGCCTAAGATTACTGGAGACACACTGTTCATTGCACAAGGACAGGATAAGGACTTAGGACAGCCTCTGGTTTGACATTTCTTATATGCTATTTCACCCATAAGGAGGCAGGGTAGAATGATAAACAACAGCACTGGTTTGGGATTAAGGAGTACTGGGTATTTGAGTTCTGGCTCAGCCACTGGTGTGCTGTGCATCCTTCCCCTGGTGTAATATCCTCTCTGGTCCACCACTTAACAACAATAGCCAGTGACTGTATTGAAATCCTACCATGTGCCATGCACTGTCCTGGATGCTCTACCCATATTATTTAACTGAATCATCAAAACAACTCAGAGGGTGGGGAAGTTGTCTTCCTAAAGATAAGGAGGCCAAATCTCAGAGAACTTAAGTGACTTGACAAAGGTCAGTTACTCAGTGGAGATTCTGGGCCTGTAGAGTTCTAATGCTCCTCCTCACAGCCACTACTCTCTGATCCCTCAGTTTCCTCACCTGTAAACTGAGCATGCCCTTTGAACTGCAAAGTCTGTTGTTCAAACTCACCAGCCACTCCTTAGAAACCCTATACAGGGTTGCTGTGGGTTGGAACCGACTCGACAACACTTAATAACAACAACAACAAAATGACCCTTTTAGAGACCTTTTTATCATCAAAATGCAATGATGATGCTCTGTGACCTTCCCAGGAATCCCGAGAGGGAGATAAAGTGGGGGTTCTGAACTCTGGGGGTAAGATAGACCCCAGAATGCAGGGTTAGGACATAGTAGAAGGGGCTAGCTCTAGACTCCTTTGCAAAGTGGTAGTTAGAGCCTTATTCTTTAATATAAATTATGCAAATATCTTAAAGAATAAGGGCTCTTCCATAAGCACTGGATTGCTAACCACAAGGTTGGCAGTTCAAACCCACCAGCCACTCTTTAGATACCCTTTTCAGGGCCACTATGAGTAGAAACCCACTTGACAACACTTAACAACAATAACATACATCAAAAGAAATAGTCACCAAGAAGTGTGATTGTGTATATAGCCTTCGAAACAAATGGTACTAGCTCACGAACAACCTAATGTAAGGATGAAACAACAGAAGAAGGGTGGGACTGTCTGGATGTTGTCAAAAGTGAGGAAGGGTCAGGCTGTGGGGAGGGATGGGGTGAGATTTATCTAGTGGGGTCCAGGAAAGAGAATCATAAATCATATGTAGGCTCCCACCTCGGATCTTAGAATACTGGTTTCCTTTTTCTAGTTCTCCTCTTACCAAGTTCTATTCTTATCTCCCCAGTGGTCCTTTCCCCCAGGACGGGCGCATACCAGTGCCAGCTGTCCCCGTAGGCATATCTGCCCTGTAAATGAATGCACCAGGATTAGGGTGGATAAAAAACTCCTTTGGGGGCTCCTGGTAAAGCTGAGGAGTCGAGTTTCTGAACAAAGTTGAGAAGCAGCAACAGTTGTCTCCGACGTTCCAGCTTAGGACACATGGCTAGCTGGTGCCAGACCAACTCTCTAGGTACCTCCTCACTCCTGCCACCATATAAGGCACTGTTATTGTTGTTATGTGCCGTGGAGTCGGTTCTGACTCATAGCGACCCTGTACAGGGTTTCCGAGACTGTCAATCTTTACAGGATCAGAAAGCCTTATCTTTCTCCTGCGGAATAGCTGGTAGTTTTGAACTGCTGACCATGAGATTAGCAGCCCGATTTGAAACCACTATGCTACCAAAGCTCCTTTTATAAGGCGCTGTGTCCAGCCTCAAATCCAACTCCGTTCTGAACATTGCCCAGAAACCCTGGTGGTGAAATGGTCATGCCCTTGCCTGCTAACCTAAAGGATGGTAGTTGGAACCACCCAGTGGCTCTGCAGGAGAAAGATCTGGCAATCTGCATCTGTAGAGGTAACAGCCTAGGGAATCCCACGGGGGCAGTTCTACTGTCACATGCAGTTGGTCTGAGTGGATTTGGATTCTGTGACATCCAGCAATGATAACAACTGAACGTTGGCATGGCTGAAACAGCAATCACCCATGGATACCATTAATCTGAACATGGCGACTAAGGTTGAGCCTGCTTTTTGAAAGTCATCTAATCCACTGCTATCACTTTCATCCTCTAAACCGACAGCTCTGAGCATCACAATATTTTAATCTGTGAAAATAAGCACTAATCAAAGTATCATGATGCTTATGACAAGGGTCAAGTTTCAGCCTTGTGTACAGAGGAAGGGAGAATGGGGCATCATCTCACCAAGCAGCTGATTCAGAACTATTTCTGTATCTCTGTAGCAGTACAACGGTGAGAACATGGTCTTCAGAATTAGGCTGCTTGGGTTCAAACCTTGTTCTATCACTGACCAACTGTGTTAATGTTGGGTAAATTACTTAGCTAGTCTGAGTCTCACTTTCCTCATCTGTTAACTGTGGATGATAGTGGTATTTGTTTTATAAACTCTTAGTGCCTAGTGGTAGCTAGTATCTGATTCTAGTTTTCACTGAGCCAATGATGACCCACTGTGACCCCATGTATGTTAGAACAGAACTGTGCTTCATACAGTTTCCAATGACTGATTTTTTTAAAAAAAGTTTTATTGTGAATTATGTGATAGTTTACATGGGAGAACATCAGCTTTACATACATCCTATTGTATATTGTTACATTGCCATGTTTAAAATCCCCTCCATGCATCATCAAGCAACCAAACGGTATACCCCTCAAGCCTGCCCCTCAGTCGTCAGCAATCAGCCCCTCTCCCTCTCTGAGCCTAGAGTTCCCAGCTACTCCATCTCTCCACATCATCGTCTCTGCCTCTGTCTCTGGCATCCCTGTTTCTCTGGGTAGGGTCCTGGACTTTGCTTTTCTCCCTTGATGGTCCCAGGGACCTCTGCTCCTGGACTGCAAAGTCAATCATTCCCCTCCTTTTGATACAAAACCTTTATACTTCCAACCCTTACAGACCAATGACTGATTTTTTCCTAAGCAAACCACCAGGGCTTTGTTCTGAGGTGCATCTGCATGGACTTGAACCTCCAGCTTGTCTAGGAATAGTAGAGAATGCTAACCATTTGCTCCACCCAGGGACTTCTAATACTATATATAGTTCTGGTTACCCTAAACCAACCAAATCCACTGATTTTGAGTTGATTCTCACTGCTAGCAATCTCGTATAGGGTTTCCGAGGCTATAAATGTTTATGGGAGAAGAAAGCCTCATCTTTCTCCTGAGGAGTGACTAGTGTGTTTGAACCGCTGACCTGTGGTTAGCAGTCCAGTGCTTATCCTACAGTGTCACCATGGCTCCTTACAGTCTTGGTTATTACTGCAGAAATACTAGTAATCATTGCTGTTAAGTGCTGACTACTTGATTTCTGAATTATAATGACTCTTTGTAGTGTTTCCAAGGAGTGGCTGGTGGATTTGAACTGCCAACCTTGAAGTTAGCAGTCCAGTGCTTATCCTGTTGTTGTTAAGTGCCATTGAGTCTGTTCTGACTTACAGATACCCTGTACAGAGTTTCCGAAGAGTGGTTGGTGGGTTTGAACCACTAACTTTGTGGTTCAAACCAACCATGTGGCCCAGTGCTTATCCAGTGCAGCACCATTATTTGATTGTTTGGCTTTGGAAGATATTGAGAGATCATTTTTATCTTCTCTGCCTTCTCCCCTGCAGCTTCTCTCCCCCCCATTCCCCCCCCCCCAAGTATATCTTATTTGGGTTAATACTAAGGTAAATTTGCCTTGCCAGCATACACACAATGCTTGTCAGAGAGAGGAAATCTAGACATAGGCAGGGGGGTGTAGATTAAACATTTGTTGTGATACTTGTCAGTTACTCGTTTATGCAGTTCAAAGATTAACCTTAAAACACCAATAAGCCTTCCCATAGCTTTCCAGACATGCCTCACCTTGGTTACAGGGAGGAAAGAGGGGAGGCAATGCTTGAATTCATTTTTCCTCTGGATGCAGTTAAACTTACCTGTCAGTGTCTTCACACGGCACACATAGGGGGCGCTCTCCTTGGACCAATTTCGAACAAAAATCATGATCCTCCCAACAAATTCTGTGTCAGGGGTCAGGCCAACGAACTCGTATTCTCTTTCCTTCCCTTCAAGGTGCTGAACATGACAGAGAATCCAAAGTGATTTCTTTTACACACCAACCTCCATACTGTTGTTGTTAAGTGCTATGGAGTTGGTTCCAACTCACAGTGTTTGTTTAGTAACTATTTAACATGTTCCTGTTGGTGTGTTCCATCAAGTCAGTTCTGACTCATAGCGACCCTGCATAGGGTTTTTGAGAGTAGCTGGTGGGTTTGAATTGCCAACCTTGCAATTAGCAGTCTAGTGCTTATCCTATGGTGCCAAGCGAGCAATTTTGTGCTTTGCAGAAATGCATAAGTTTTCCTGCCTCCCTCTCTAATCGTTGTGAAACAGGGCAGACCAGATGGAGGAAATGTGGGCTTTGAACAGAGCTGGGTTTGAATCCTGGCTATGCTGTTATTGTTATTTGCTGAGCAATTTTGAACAAGAGACTTAATCTCTTTGAGCCTCAGTTTCCCCATGTGAAAAACAAAGAGAATTAGCACTTTCTTGATATGGCTGTAATGACGACTAACCAACATGACATGTATGCATTACCTTGTTGTTTGTGCCATCCAGTTGGCTCTGATCAACAGCAACCCTGTTTAGTGTTTCCAAGCAGGGGCTGGAGGATTTGAACTGCCGACCTTGTGGCTAGAAGTCTTGCACTTATCCATGCAGTTGGTCTGAGTGGATTTGGATTCTGTGACATCCAGCAATGATAACAACTGAACGTTGGCATGGCTGAAACAGCAATCACCCATGGATA